ACTTGTACATATGCAGCCCCCAAGAGAGTAAATAGCACACCTGGGGCCACTCTGAGTCAGAAAAACAGTGCAGAAGGGAAAGCCAAAGGCCCTTCTCTGCGTGCTTCATAGGTCCAGTCTGGACTGGGGGTCCAACTGACCTGTAATGCATTCAAAGCCAGGTAAGGGAACTCAGACATAATCCATAATTGTAATGTGTCATTTGGCTCTTAGAAAATGTTGCCCCTTTAAAAAAACAAACCCAACAATATTGCTTAACAATAAGCCAATTGTGTAATATACTAAATATATAGCTGCCCTGATGGGGCAGGAAAGTACGATATAAATTTTGTAAATAAATAAATAATAAACATGATGAGTAGCACCACACTGAGGATGGTCCACCTTATTTTTCCTACAGGAGATTATCTTCAGGGCGGTGGGTGGTGTTATACTGTGTGAAGTATGGCATGGATGTTTCCTTTACCTGCCCAGTCTATGTATTCATAGTACTTGTGCCACACTTTATTCATTATGCCAATTATGCATATTCTTACATAGAGAACATCCCCAAGCAGAAAAGAAGAGATGTATGAAGTGCCTCAGTTATAGCAGGAGCAATGGCTCTCCCACACAGCAATGGTTCCTATAGAAGCCCCAGTGTTGCAGCAAGTGCTAATGCACTGCAGTGACAATGGAGTTTCAAGATGGCAACTTTCCCCGCATATTCCCAGCCCCAACCCCCACGGGGTCCTCCTTTACCCCATGCTATGGGAGGCTTTATCCAAGGTTTTTTTTAACAATTGGTGCACATAGTGATATACCATTGTATCACTGTGCCAATTTCTGATTTTTAAAAATAGTCAGAAACCCCCCTGATGACATGGAGGGGGAGGCTACTGTGAGGACTGAGGAAAGGGAAATGACTCCTGTGTGGATGAGACTGGGAAGGCAAGGTGGGATATAAATTTAAATAATCTAAATAAATCTAAAATAATAAATGAATAAATAAGTAAGTAAGTAAAATCCAGACTTTCCCACCCACATGAGAGCTAGCCTGGCTTTGCTGCAATGCTTCCTAAAACATTCCAGCAAAACCGGTTTGGGGAAAATCACAGAAAAGGCAAGGAAAATCTAGATGCTGTACTGTAGGGAATAGCAAAGGACCCTCACTCCCTGAAAGCATCAAACCCAGGGCAAACCACCCATGCGGAAGTGGCTGATCTTTCAAGACCATTCATGATTCATTGTCATATCCTCATGGAAAAATGGGATTATCACAGAGCAATAATCCAACAGAGAGCTCATAGGAGAGGATACAAATACAGGTTAGCCTTAGCAGGGCTCAAACAGTAGGTTTCCTAGTATGGGGTTATTCTTACACCAAACTCCTTCACAGTGGTAATTTGGAAAGGATTTCCATCCAGGTGTGTTAGGGCCAATTTTACACAGGATTGTTTTTTTCTGCAGCAATTACTCTATAAATCTCACATATTTATCACCTGAATGAATGAAAATTTGATGTGTGTCTTACGTACATGCAATGGAAAGCTGCAACTAGCAGGGCCAATTACAACAATACCCAAATAACTATTTAACCTTGCAATTTGCCAATTCGGGGGGGGGGGGAAAGACATTTATAAATAATAAAAAGTATGGGTGGACTTCATTGAACAGTTCTTGTAACTGCTAAGAAACAGATTGCTGGAATTTTTTCCTTTCTCATTGGAATAGTAGGTTGTTCATAATAAATGGATCTTGTTAGTGCTACACACACACACACACACACACACACACACACACGGGCAAGATCACAAGCAGGAATAATATCACCACCTCTGCACCTTGGAAGAGTTTGCTATGGTTCAGCTAACTGCAATGCGGGCACATGAAAATGCCCTCACAAGATGCAATCCTAAATGAACTCAATGAAATCAGTGGAATCTACTTCTAAATATATGTGTTCAGGATTGTACTGAAGAGCAGCAGCCTGTCATGTGTTTGGTGGCCATGTGAGCCGCCCCCTTCCAAGTTTTCACTTTTGTCCACTCTGTGTGGTAGGTTAATTGGAAAGGCCCAAGTCAGGAGAATTTAATCAGCATCTAGCTAGTATGCTGATCCTGCAATAGTTTTAATTAGTATGGAGTCATTTGTATGAAATGAAATGATTGCCATAAATCACCTAGGTTGAGATGTGCAATCAGCACCTCATATGCCCACCAGGAGTTTTTGTTTGTTTTGCTTCCCCCCCCCCCAGTTGCTTACCACTTTATGATCAGACCTTTTTGGATAGCGTATTTCCATAAAGTATCTCAACATGAGGTTGTTGTAGCTCCATGGATGGTTTCCCAAATTATATTGGTAATGTAAAAAACCCAATAGCATAGCTTACCCAGGTGATTTGACAGATTGCCCAGAGGGGTTGCTGTGTGAGTTGGTTGCAGCCAAAGCAACAAAGAATCTTATGGCACCTTAAAGACTAACACGTTTATTGTGACATACAATTATGTGGTGACTTATTTGTCCGAATTCTGCACCTGCCTAGGCCATAGGCAGTGATATGGGCAGTAAGCACCTCAGAAAACCATACACAGCTCTGTTTGACATACTGAAAATATAATATGGGCACCTGAGTACAGAGGATTCTCAGTGTTTCCATGGATGTAATATTTAAAGTGTGTGTGTGTGTGTGTGTAGTTCTGTATATTAGATGGGTTTGTAAGACAAACATAATTTGTATGAAGTCCTTAAATTTACTAAAAAAAATACTTAAAATGTATCTGTTATTTTTTAAAAATGAGATGGGCTGGCAAGGCAAAAATTAAATGTACTTTCAATACTGATCAACCTAGTCAATTTCAACATTTCAGAGTAGGAACTGCTAAAAAAAATGAGGCATTTCCAATTCTATTCACAGCAGGATTAATGTTAATTATTGAGATAAATTTCCATTCCTAAAGAGATCGTATGCTTTCAGGTAGTCCCATTCATTTTCAAGGAACTTCCTTCTAGTTAAGGATCACAGCTTTAGTCGGATTCCTGATGGCAGAAGTCTATCATATTTAATGGCCTCGCCTTTTTCAAGTGCTCCCCTCCCCTTTAAGATCTCGCAAAACAATTTTCCCCTTTAAAGCTACAGCATAAAAGTGACTTACTGACAAAACAGGAGTTCCACATCTCGCTGTGCAGCCGGATCCTATTTGTGTTTACTCGGAACCAAATGCCACTGACTTCAGTGGGGCTTACTCTCAAGCAACTGTACACAGAACTGCAAACTTCGTTCTGGTCCCTTTGCCCTTCAGGGTCCGTGACGGTGGAAGGAAGTTTTCCGCTTGATCGAGAAGAACTGTCAGAATGGGGCTAAAATGGAGCGATGGATCAGATTGTAAGGCAGTTTTTATATCGCCTGATGAAACTAAATTGTTGTTCTTTAAATTCTTGAATAAATACTAATTGAATAATATTCCCAAACGGATGAGGCCAAGTCTGACGTTCTTAAGAAATTGAAATCACGCCCTTCGCTGTTAGTCTGGCTCAACAGAAGGAGGAAAGGGGGGAAAGGGTGTATGAGTAACTCTACTGAAAAGTCACCTCCTCCCGTGGTTCAGTTCGAAACTGACTACTGTTTATTAATTGAAAAAGAGTTCCTTTCTTCTAATCAGGAGTGGATTGTGCAGGCTGGTGTGACGGAGTTTTGAACGATGGTCGAGAGCGGCGCGAGAAGGAAAGCCAGAGATTAAATCAGCTCCGGACCACTTCGCCGGGATTCTCCTGAAGAAAAAACTGTGAAGTACATGGGTTCAGATCTGTGCACGTTTTACGGTCTCCAAATCGCAAAAGGACCTAAGAAGCTTTCTCCGGGAAGACGTCCCGTTGAGGTCTCCATCAGACCTCCACGGGAGATTTTTTTTTGGGGGGAAGCATCTCTCCCTTCAATAGCAACCATTGAATGCCTTTCCCATGAATTAGAAGAAAATATATTCTGACCATGTTCCTTGGGAGACAATCACCAACCTGAAGAACTAGCCAGCGTTCACTAGTGGGGGAGTTTAAGGCGTATCTACTATTAGAAGCAATCACAATATTGAGAATGTGTGGAATTTTTTTTTAAGTGTCCCCTGCACCTTGTTTAACTATGGATCCGACAACCGTATTTTGGACGCAGGTACTTAGCAGATGAATCGTTTGAGAAAAAGAGATGATGGCAGAACGCTCGCTGGAAGGGGGGGGGGAAAGCTGAGTGTTGCGTATTCCATCCATCAGGTGGTGATACCTTCGGGAGTTCTACACAGAAGACCAGAATAACTCTGCCATTCATATAGATATAATATATTTCACTCTCACCACATAAATACAAAACAGCCAAATATTCAAAACATTCAGAACACGGGTTAGTACCAAGAGTTTCGCCTTCAGCCATCGAGTCATTCATTTATTGTCTTCACTAGTTGCCTAGAAACTTCAGACGTAAATAATTTACAATAAAATTACTATGAGGGGGTTTCTCTCTCTCTCTCGCGCACACACACACACACACACACACACACACACACACACTTTCCTCTCTAGTTCTTTCTGTTCTACGATTAATCCTATCAACTACATCAACCATTCCACTTTTTTGCCTCTTTTTTGGTTAAAAAGTTTGGTGGCACATATGTATACAGTCTGTAAACGCAATAGATATATAGATATATAGATATAAAAATTAAAGCAACTACCTAAGTACACCGAGAGGGATTTTTTCCCCCTGACAATTTTCAAGTCCTGGAATTTAATGAAAAAAATAATCTTGTAATACATACATCGAAGAGGGTTGGAATAGATAGTAAGGGCATAATAAGAAGCGTTTTAAAGTAGAAAATCAAACCGGGTTTGGGGGCGGCGAGCAGGGGGGAATTTAATTTCTCAGTGGAGTTTGTTTTACGATAAAATGGTTCCAAAATGGGAGAGAAACTCGAGTTTAAATTTAGATTCGTCAATATGGAAAAACAACAACATGACTGACGTATAGGTTGGTTTTAGGGGAGTTCTAGAGAATCCATTGCTTCCATTTTTCCTCCGTTATTTCCCATATTCACCGCAATCTGCACTTCTGATTTTGTTATTTCAATCTAGAAATAGATTGGGGGGGTGGGGCTCGAAAGCTCGCACCGATTTGTAGATGTTCTCCGTTTCCTACGTGCATATTAGTATGGTCAGTGGGCATATTACTGAAATCGAACCGCACGGTGGGATTCGAATATCCAGGACTGAACAAAAGAAAAGTGTACCAAAATAGTCCTGCTTCTTCTTTGCGTAGCGGGATAAAGGCTAGACTCCTGCCACAAATGTAAGTACAGTTTGTAAGACCACCGGCTTTGTCGATTTCAGTTTTGATCTCTGGGAGGCTTGCTTTGAATCCGCCAGATCTCAACGCTTCGGCATTTACTTATGGTGGCCTTTCCTAAGGATGGGCCGGGCTGTTATTTCTAAAGTGTCGTTTCAGTGCTGCGGTCCCTCTCACGACAACATGGGTCGGGTATGCAAGAGCAGTCCCTCCGCACATTTACCCAGAGCAGCAAAACTTTGGAAGGAGCGCGTTTAGGGTTGCACAGCGTGCCTCCGCCCACGCAGTTCGACGGGCCTGGCGTCAACGCTGTTTGTATGAACTCGTGATATAAATTGCGGAAGGGGAACTGCTAATCCTCAAACCGACGAACAACCTCTTTGTGGGGTGGCTGTTGTACTCGCCTGGGGGGGGGGTTGGGCACCTTTTAAAGGACCAGACTCTCTGAAGGAGGACAGCGAACATCCTCAAAGGTGGGAGAAGATATACACCAGTATACTCCATATAGAATTCCAGTATATAGAAACTCCCCATCAGTCTAGCCCCTTTAAGTAATTCCTCCCTGACGCCCTCTTCCAAACCCCAGTTTGATAAAGTGGATCCTTTTCACATTGGCAGTCAAAACTTGAAATGAAAGGCTTCTGTTTCGACAGTAATTCCACCACCCCGCCCGGCCCCGCCATGAGTCCGCGTTAACTTCGGTTTTCCCACCTCCACCTCGTCAGGTTGCAGCCAAGGCGGGTCGGCCGTATCACAAGGCCCTCCCCACCCCCTCCCCCCCCCCCAGCTCTCGGGTTGTTTTGTCTGGTCTCTCCGTCTGTTTTGGCGTCCATTGTCTGGCTCGGGCGGGCTGCGTCGTGGCTGCTGCTCATCGATTTGTTTCACTGCGCTGACTCCTCCAGGCGGAGCTGCCAGGCCTCTGGCGTCGGGGGGAGACGAAGCCGGGCCCCGAATGGGACCGGGGTCCCGGGAGGCCGAGCGGGCTGGGTGGGGGGTCGGAGGGGGCGGCCGGGTTGGGGGGAGCAGAGGGCGCTGGTT